ATTGCCGTTTACCTCTCCTGCTCTCGTTATTATTCGTTACTCTTGACTTTCTCTTTCCTTTTCTTTCAGAAGCTTTTCGCTTGGTTATTCAACGGAGAAAAGAATTTTCTGTTTTTTTTTTTTCTTTTTCATTGACTTTTTTACATTTATTATCTATGTGTTCCACGTCACGCGCTGGAATACAGACATTTGAGAAATTGGGTTTTGGTTGATCGAGACTCTATACTCTTTCGGATGGGGCTAATAGGAAAGCTTAGCCAACGATACTTTTTTGAAAAACTCGAAAAAAAACTGGCGTATAGACGCAGTACCTACTACGCACTTACCTTGAATTTAAAAAAAAAACTGAGGGTGCAAACCATGGAACTCACTACAGATATACTAGAGACTATACTCTTTCAAATCGTACAACACGTACCATTCGCAGAAGCAAAAAGATCAGGTTTCAGTTTCGGCCACAAAAAGCTTGAAATATTGTATCTCTTGATTGTATGGCACGTCAAGTAACGTGAAGGCTGTGATAATAATTGACATACCAATGAAGATCGATAGTCATACTTAATACATAAATTGTGTATACCTCTGGAACGTTATGACAGGCTGGTATGATACAGAGTGAAAGTCCATTTGGCTTGTGCCTGTCTGTACTCTGAAAAGACTTTTTTCTTTTTTTAAGATCTTTAAATTAAAGATAAGCATACCTGAGCAGTCCTCAAAATGGAAGCACGGCACAGGGAGCAGAGTATACGTAGCGGAGAGGTAAGGTTGGTCAAAGAATAAGATGTTGGGAAAAAGCCACTTCCTCCTGAGAATCAAATTACCAAGGCAACGTCTGCACGTTTTCCTGCTCGAGGACGTCAACCTTATATAATTGCATTTCTGGAGAGATACCTCGGGAACACACTTTGTTCCCGTGGGAAGATATTCCAGATCTTCTCCTGGGATATTATTAATTTCCTTGGGGTGGCCAGTCAAGTTGCGTCTAATCGATAGGACCGTTTCGGTTGGACCTGAGCTGGTGGAGCAACTCGTCAGCAGGATCAGAAAGATAACGTCCGGTTTCTGAACGATCACTTTGGATATCCAGGATTGATGCGACTGGGTCGTGAAGGTGACTTCACGGTGCATACGTGAATCTAGAATTTTATTTTTTATTTATTAAAAAAAAAAGAGAAGTTTTACCTGCATCTGACATTGTTCTGTAGTTTGGGAATGAGTCCAGGCAGGAGGTACCTCTATTGGTGAACAGTCAAACTGTGGATGATAGAAGCTGTGGCTTTTCTCTTTGTCAATTACAAAGGAATTAGACGAAATTCACAGACGCCTCTATTCAGCTCCAGAAGTATCCTTGAAAGTGTAAGACCATAAGAATTATGAGCTTCACAGTTTAAGGTAAGAGTAAATCCTGTGGGTAAAATTTTATTGAGATCCTGGATATAACTTTACTTCATTACCATGTTTCAGTGTGGCCTGGGGATCAACTCTCAGATTCAGGAATGCTCCTTCGTCCTATAATCTAATAAACAGAGCTTCGTCCTTTGACGTCTTCTTCACTGAAGTTCGCACTGCGTGCCACTTGAAATTTCGTTTCGTCGTCTTCCGATCCCCTCAGACCTCCTGCGGGATCTTTGGCGTACGGGGGACACCTATGTACCGCATACCGTTACAGCCTCCTTTATGAGATCCTAGCGGACCTGGGGATCCATCGATTTTTAATAGGACTATGAAGATTAAAGTTCAGCCGGAGCTTTGAGTTTTCTGTATCTCAAGGACTTTGTTCCTGTAGACGTTACCTCTAATCCTGAGTAATCCCTCTCTTTAATCCTTCCAGAAACGATCCTTTGAGGGATGCTGACGAAAATAAAAGTACTCTTTTTTTTTTTTTGGTCGTTATCTTCTGAGCATCTCTACCAGCTCCTTCGCCAGTTAAGAGTACCGGGTTTGGACGTTGATATCCGAGTCTTAAATCCCCGAACGAGGACAGAAGAAAATAGAAGCTTTGTCTGGCAGAGCTATTCGATTTCTCCTGGAACGAGGAAAAGACTTATTGGGCACGCTTTGTAACCGAGATCTTGGTAATCTACTTACGTTCTTCTGACCAGGCATAAGAAAGTCATTCGCACTTGTCTGAAGTCGGGCAATACTTTGATTCCGTGAGATATGGACGTTGTCGAGGTTATGATACTGTGGTTGCCTCCATTGTGCAGGTAGATGTCAGAAGGTCGCTGTAAAAATGAAAAGGACCAATAAGACGCTGGAAGGTACTGCTCCCTTATAAAGTAGGGTTGTAATAAAAACAAGATAGTCGAGGATAAAATGAGCCATAGCAATGAAAAAGAATGTGAAGGGTCAAGATAAAAGTCTAAGGGAGGCGTGAAGTGTTGAGAAGTGAAAAAAGGCAACCGCGTACAAGACAATGTCTGACACGATCGACTGGGGAAAAATGATACTAACGACGTAAACTCCATTTTTCGACTCTAAATCGATATCATTTTTCCCACAATATCGCCTTCTCATATATATTAAAGTTCCAAGTGAAAAATTGTACAAGTAGAAAATACCTTCCAAAAGCCCATTTAAAGCTTAACAGTTTGGGGTTCAAAGCCAAAAGTTGAATTAATTAAAAGCACCGTGGGTTAAATTTATCAGGGAATTCAATATTTTATTACAGCCTCATCTTCGACCCCGCCTTATAACTACGCTGTAGCTTTTGGTGGACTCATGGCAGATATGTAAAAACGATTTTCACGCGAAATTTATTTTATGTAACTATCCTGCTTATTTGTTAAGTATTCCTGGATACTTTGACTTCCTGCCATAATCTTGTGATTTTGTACATGGATTATAATCAAGTTTAGCTAATTCAAGGTTTGACATTCAAATCAGACTGCTGCTTGTAGGAAACGAGAAACTTTGTAGATTCTAAATCAACTTGTATGAACTTTTGGCTTCTCTCTCTCTCTCTCTCTCTCTCTCTGTTTCTCTTTTTGAAGTCTGGCCTAACTTGCACGAGCTACCCAAGTTAAATTGCAAGGTCATACTTTTAGTGCCAGTATTTTTTCATTTATCTCAGGTACCTCTAGCACGCAAAATATGTGCCAGTGAAAAATTCCCTTTATACCTGCAGACGCTAAATTTTAATTTCCTTCTAGCTTTTCTTTCGCTCATACTTTCCTGTCATCCGTGCGAAGGTGGGTAGTCTTCATGAAACTTTAATAAAAACTTACTCGTTTGGAAGATTTATCATGTTACGAATCTCTCTTTCTCTTTTCTTCCATCTGGTCCTTAAATTTCTTTAAGTTTTCCTTTTGGTTTGTCCAGTCCTCACTCTATCATGAATTCAAACATTAGCAGTCTGTCTTTAAGGTATATCTCTTTAATGCCGACTACACGCTCAATAAATGCCTGTTTGAGGAACCCCTGAATTTTTTTTTTTTTTTTTTCAGTACCCGCAGTCATCCTGATTGTCATAGAAAATTCGTAAAACGTTATTTACCATCCACATCCGTTAAAAATTATTAAATGAAAAAAAATCATAGTCAATCTAACATCCATGAGTGCATGCTGGAATAATGTATTTGCTTTGAAAATGCCTTGTGAACCTAAAACATACTTACCTAGGTACAGCTCAGTAACGATCCAAGGTTTATAGGTAGAAATCAAAGTAAATTTTCAAAGGGAATTTACGCAGCTTGACGAAACCTCGTACCTTCCAGGTTAAAAAACCATCGTGGTCGATACGTATCTTCACAAAGAATAAAGACAGCAGGAATACACAAAAGAATATTGGATCACTAAAACAACACTGTCTAGTGTCAAGATAACAATAGCAGCCTCAACTTCCTTCCTATAAATATGTTAATTAGATCCACTCACGTAACAACTGTAGAGTACGAGTTGAAATTTCAAAATAGATTGCAGACAAATCTTATTAAATATAAATATATGTATACCATAAAATAAGGAAGCTCCATAATGTAATAAACATCGTAAGCAACCAGCGAAGGAGAATAATAGATTTTCCTCCGTGTTAATATACACCAAGATCCATCGTGAAGGCGTCGTTGAGTCGTCGGGAAGTGTAAAGAGCCTCGAATATTGGCGCGTCGTTGACGCAGTTCAAATATATATATATATATAAGACCTCCAAAGACTTGTCATCGGCAGGAATTCCAACTGCGTCGATGTATTACCGATATTAAATCGCTCTGTGGAAATTTATTTGGAGAGGGAATAAATTTGGAAAATTCGATATAAAAAAATCCAATATGCCAGACGTATATCGATTTTTATATGTTTACTTAAGCAGGGCTAATAAAGTATGCGAAATGCTTGATTCGTAGAAGAACGAAAGCAAGAAATAATGCATTCGTAACTCTCCAGTAGTTTTCCAATAACTTTATATATTTCACAATGACCTGTCGATAACTTACCCGTTTGCATTATACCTACCTGAGCTTCGAGGTATCCTCGCCCTGTACCACGTCTGTGCAGTGTAACTTACTGGCGGTAGGACGAAGCCGAGAGGTGGCGACTGAAGAAGTTAACCCCATAAGTTTCCTAGATACTTTCTAAAGTGGTGTAATATATTAGACATAAGCTTACTCGGTAGTTCGAGATTGGCGGCTGCTTCTGGTAGGCAAACCTCGTTTTCATAGTATTGGCCGTTATGTGTAGAATATATACACGAGTATATAATGTATATGCATATAGCAGCAGCGTAATAAGAATAGTATACGGCCTCGTAAAATCGCTTGGAAAGTGTCTAATAAGTTGGATATTAACTGGATATACGATTCGGAAGGTAGAAGAGGAAGGTGGCAGCTAAGCGTCTAGAGGTAATTTAAAAAGGATGAGCCTCTTGGTATTTCCATCAATCGGCTTAGCCATTGTACTTTTAGATTGTACTTCCTGAAGTGTCTCTTGGTAAAGGTTGTAGGACAATGGTGACTTCCGGCAGGGTGTTCTCCCTGTTGATACTTTTGGATGGTCTTTTCTTTCTTTCTATGTAACAATCAATCAAACGTTGCTGATTACTTTGGGAGGAATGGATTGTACAGGGAAAAGCGATTCGGCTGGATGCTTTTTATTTCTGGAAGAAGTTGCGCAAATTATTATATCCAGATTCGAGGGAGAAAATGAAGTTACACGGAGGACGAGTATTGGGTTTGAGGGGAGGATAATATTTTTTATTTCATTTCGTTATTGAACCTTGTCTCTGATATTAATACAAATTTTATTTAATCAGATTAGCTGTCTACTTTAAACATATTGCGTTTCTGTATCCACGTGGCTGGGGTACCCGTTACTCTGGAGTTTACCGGTTCTGTCAAATTCAATTCAGCACAGTACAATAGTGTTATACCGGCTTCAAGAGTGTTAAGGAGTGCGCACACGGTACTTGACAGGGGATAAAACGTAAAATGGAGAATTTGATCGATATCCTGAAAATTGTTTTTATTCCATTGCGGGGAAAAAAACCATGGAGCACTGCTTGTTGCCAGTATAAAAGGATTTTGATGCGTGGATTTTGAAAAGCTTTTTGACTGTTTGGATTCTGCGTGAGATATTTCCAGTTTAAATGTGACAGACGGTTTCGCTAGATAACCTTTAAGGTTCTTTTACTGTTTATATAGGATTCGGGTGACGGATTCAATAATTTCAGAAATGATTTATTAGTATAGGATTTATTATTGATTGTAGGATTTTTTTTTAACATATTCTAAACTACCGCGAGTACCTGTCATTCCACTATTTGGACTTTTAGGGAGACGTAGGTATAATTCGACGCTGAGACTGTACCCAAGAAATATCTTAAGGGATTTGTCGAAAGGATATGCCAATACCATCTGCACCCTTGAAGAGCAACTATCGGGTCCGTTGCCATAGAAATGATAAGTCCTGCAGGATAAGATCCACACGTGTAAGATAGTCGATGGGATTTCCTCAATTTTACCCAAGGAAAACCTTTATTCTCCAACCTGCCTAAAATAGAAGCTCTTCGCATTGCAAAATTATTCCGTGGATTCGTCTTCTTGGGAAAAAGTTTTATTTTTACTTTCACTCGGGAATCTGAAAAGACGAGCCTGAAGAAGTTATTTGGAATGTTGGCCTTGCCCTAAGCCCTTAAGTCGACTAGAGTTCTGGCCCTTGCGCTCCAGTCTGTGCTCATCCGGAAAACTTAACGACGGCTTCTTTGCGCAGGTTTACGCGCCTCTTTCGTTTACAGACGTCAATTACGGACGAGAGAAAACGTGAATGAAAAGTCAGAGGTGCTTAAAATTTTTACGAGGTAAAATAAAGAAAAATGAACAAGGTCTATAGAGTGTATGAGGGGGGATAAGAATTAAAATGAAAGAAAGAGAAGGTTTTCGGGGAACTTTAGGAATAACCCGACCGTTAAAATTTTCCTCGCCCAGGATTCGTTATATCGTGAAAATAATGATAATGACTTTTTCTGTTTATTATTTTTTCCAGGGGGCAATGGATGCCCACGGGGTGGGTGTAGTTGTCGCCCTGGGGCTGGTTGGCGCTGCTGCTGGAGCAATTTTGGCCATTCTCGTGTACGCCATTTGTGCAAGGAGACGATTGCCTCTTCTTGGTCCTGCAGGTGGACCTCTCAATTGGTAGGTGACTTTCTGCAAGATCATAGTAAGGTCCGCTTTTTATTTCTACAAAGGCTTTCTTGTCTACCGAAAATACCTTGGAGACTCGATCCCTGGTCATACTTATGATATCTAAAGGTTGTACCTGAAGCAGAAAAAATTGACGTGGTTGATAGCAAAAACTTATATACAGGTTCGAGAAAGACTTACTGGAAAGAGAAGAGGCTGCCAGATCCAAGGAGGCCCTTGTAGGATTGGGAATTGGAACAGGTGGCGGAAATGGCTCCAGAGCTCCCAGCCAAGGAAGCGAGGACAAAATATGGCCTCATAATTTAATGCACGACAACCTCGCCCTTGAATCTTCTGGAGGTAAATATGACGGTGCACTTGTATACGTTAATCAAGAAACATGGTATTAATATAAATCCATGCAGTCTCTCTATCAGAATGCGACAGCGCACCAGTGAGTCCTGTCAGTCCTATAGGATCTGGAGTAGCTCCTCCACTTCCTGGTGGACCATTAGTGGCGTCGGAGAAGCACGTAGTCGTCGCCAGACCAAGAACAGTAGCCAGCATGCATACCAGATTGGATCATACAAAAATAGACACAGCACTTTATCAGAAGGTATGTAACAATAAAATGTAAATGACAATAGAGAATTCTTTCTTATTAATCTTATCCGTTAACTCAGCAATCCATAGCGATGACGCCAAGCTCCACGGAGGACGTACGTGGTGAATTACAACTGGCTCTGGCCTACGACGCACCAGCTGCTATTCTCACCGTGAGACTGATAGAGGTAATCATTCACCAGGTTATATTCTACAGCCATTATTATATTCCGTGAATACGCATAATCAATATCTAACCTGTTATTAATTGTTGGTACAAGGCGCATGACCTTCAGGCACGCGAGTTGAGTGGAACTGCCGATCCCTACGCCAAGATACGATTACTTCCAGACCGAAGTAACGTCTGGCAAACTAGGATACATAAGCGTACCTTGAATCCTGGTGAGTAAAAGGTAGCGTGTATTGGGCGTTAATTTAAAAAGATATTATAAAAGCCCTTTTGCTTCGTCCTACTAAAATTAGTCTTCGACGAGGACTTTGTCTTCGAAGTGAAACCTGCGACCATTGCCAGGAGAACCCTGGAAGTACTGCTCTACGACTTCGACGCCTTCTCCCGGCACCACAGTATAGGCTGTGTCAGACTTCCTCTATCGGCAGTCGACCTGGGCTCCAGAGCTACGATTACCAGACCTGTACTCCAGTGCACAGAAAGAGACTACAGGGCTGAGCTAGGAGAACTCATGGTCTCCATATCGTTCCTACCTTCTGCAGAGAGGCTTACGGTCATCGTCATCAAGGCCAGAAACCTCAGGGTGGTCGATGATACCAGGACCAGCTCAGATCCTTATGTCAAGGTAGATCAGTATTTCTATTCAATCTTGTACACGAGACAGACTGTATTGTGCTCGCCACCTGGTGCAATATCGTCAGGATCCTAGAACCACTTGGTTCCTTATATCCTGGTGGTGTTATAACATTCATCGCATTGTGTCTTTCTCACAGAATCACGCAAGGCTGCGTGATATTGTTGGTCGATTTAAACCGGATATCGTGTTGGAGACCCTTTTCTCACGCAGTCTAAACGTTTCGTGCCGGGATACTACCTTTTGCAAGCTAGCAACGCGACAAAAGAAAATCGAAAAAAAATAAACATAATTGAGAAGTCATTTTTTCAAATTTTGAAATCGTTACTTCCCAGGTCTATTTATACTTTTATGTGCAATCTACTCATTATAGAGTTATGGTACCCTTCTCAAAAAAGATTTTAGAGTCGTGCCAGGGATTACCTGAGTTAATGGATTACTTCTTTTTCCCTTTAATACCACACGATCCTTGGAAATAAGATTGAAAAGATTACAGCAGATGAACAATATAAGGGGATGATATCTACTGGTAAATGCTAAGGTTCTCATTTTTATCTTCTGATGTATCTTGTCATTCGTATGATTTCCCATGGTTCACCGTTTATCGCTTATACTTTTTTATCATTGATTTGTTTTTTCGCATTCGCAGGTGACTATCCTGCAGGACGGTAAAAGATTGAAGAGGAAGAAAACCGGAGTACAACGGAACACCACTAATCCTGTTTGGAATGAGGCGTTGACCTTTGACCTGGGTAGAGATTTACTTTCCAGGTGTACCCTCGAATTTCTAGTATTACACGACAGTCTATTAGGTGCCAGTGAACCTTTAGCAAGGTGCTTAGTATCGAGTAAAAGCCAGAGGGACCTGTTTCACGAGGTCCTGGCTGGTAGGGGTGCTTCAGCTCAATGGCTTCCGTTGGCAGAGCCCCAGAATTGAGCTATACTCTGTCCCTTTCTCTTTCTCTCTCTTTACCCAAATTCAATTCTGGTAACAGACACACGCGTGAAGCGAAATTCATTATTTCAAATAGACTGTAGCCTATGTTTTCAAGTATAAGTGGGCCAAATAAACTTTAATTAGTAATTATGAAAGGCTTATGTCCATATAGTCTAAAATGTTTAGTATGTGCGTCAATGATGGATATGTCTATTACGCTGAAAATGACAAAAGAGAATAGATAAGTATAAAAAGAAAGAAGAGTCCACTTGATATTATCATCTGGCAGAATTAGATTTATTGTAAGTATCGATGGTGATTGTTCGCAGTTGATTTAGAATTTCCATCGAGTCTATTTGTATTTTTATTTTCTCTGACCAATGTACTTTTTATTTGTTATGTTTTCTTAGCTGTTCAGCGATTCACGTGCTACCTGTGTGTGCTTTTTATATTAAAATACAAATAGAAGTGGTGAAGCGAAGGGACACAAGTACGTAAGCACAATTATGGGATGTTCCAGGTAAAATTACACTGTTCATATTTTACAGTATGGCTGACAATTCTTTTTATTTCTGAAAGCCATAGTTGTAAATGTCTTTTTTTACAACCTGTCCTCTGCCAGTAAACATTTTAGGGAATTACTTCATCGTACTGTTACTGTTGAGAATGACTGGAAGGTTTTCCATGTTGCAAAAGGGAATAAATGCTTTATGAGGAATGGCGTTATGTACCTAAACAGAGATTTAACTTGGAGCGTTCTATATGTAGCGGTATATCTATATCGTATTGTATGAGTATACTATATACATGACCACTATGCCGACTCTAATTTTTGGGAGGAAAGGGGAGATGCGAAAATTCTAATTTTATATATGCAAATTATTTTTTAAATTCTATATCTAAAACAAAGCTATTTATAATTTATATCTATGGAATATTATTGTATAAGTATTTCATTGTACCTACGTTGTATATTATCATGACTGTGTAACATAACAAAACCGAGAATAAAGAATGTCTCGATATCTCTACAATGATCCAAGGAGTTATCGCCTTAAAAAAAAATAGATATTTTGTTTTACAATTTTTTATTAATTTTTCAGTGTACAATATAACTGTACAATAGGAATTGGATCCAACGTAGATCTTTTGTCGTAACAATCCTCAGACTTAGTCGAACAGACCTGTAGTAAATAAAACAAAATATTTTTGAGTAATCTCGTAGGTAACTAGGCTTTATAGAATTACTATTCATCTGTATCCTCATTGAGTAAAATGTCTTCATAAGCTTTTTCAGTAGCTAATACATGCATGAATAATCATTGGTTCAAAATAACAATTTAGTATCCATCTGTTAATGAATATCAAAACTTACCGAAGCCCATGTCATCGTCAGATTCTTCTTCAGGTTCTTCTTTCTTCTTCTCCTCCTTAGCTGGGGCAGCGTCAGCGGCTGCAGGTGCAGCAGCAGCAGGAACTTTCATGGAAAAAGAATAATTTAATATTGTGCATTCTTTAAGGAGAATTAAAATATGACACTGAGAACGAGTTGTTGCTAACAAGAACCGAGGTTAAAATTTCTAGACAGTCAAACCCTGCAGGTTCTCGTTTACTTTATTATCCTCTTATATGCTGACCATACTAGCATTACAAGAAACTAATCTGGTGGATGAAAAGAGGATCATATTCAACGGAGTACCTCAAGTTAAATATAAATTGACTATGCTTACCACCAACAGCTGGAGCAGCTCCGACACCAGAGCCAATGTTGGAGATGAGCTCCTTAACGTTAACACCCTCCAAAGCCTTGGCGAAGAGACCGGGCCAGTAAGGCTCGACGTCCACGTTGGCTGCCTTCAGGATGGTCTGGATTTTTTCTCCCTGAAAGATAATAAATAGTAAATCAGAATGTTTCTGCACTCAAAGTACAAAAAGAAGTTCGAGTTTACTGAATTCTACTGAAATAAATTAGAATACACACAAAGCGTGATTTGGCGTCCTGTGACTCTAACCTATAAAACCACGCGATCAGTTCCAAGGAAAATAAAAATTCTTTATTAATTTTTTCCCTCGACATCCATTAGAGTCAGTGCAGATTCTTTTATCTTTACCAAAAAATATACGTCAAAAATGAAACATCAAACACGCAACGAGGTAATAAAAAAATACAGTCATTTGTTATGACGGGCAGAAGTATATAACACTTACGGTAACCGCAACATCGTCGTCGACGAGGATCAGGGCAGAGTAGACACAGGCTAGTTCGGCTTTAGTAGTCATGTTGCTTGATATTTCGTTTATAAAGAAAAACGATGGATCCTAAAGGAGGTGCAAGTCGCCGATTCGGCCTTAGCTCGCAAAGAGAACAAGCACGCGAGTTACTTGATCCACCGGAAAAGGTGAAAGAGGCAAAGAATCACCGGAAATCACATGAGCAAAACTCCAGCACGCATGTCGATCTGCGCATTCAGTTCCATTTACAACAATCCACGTAAGCTCATTCTGACTGGTCAATCCAAGAACAAAGAATGATTAATCTATTAACCAAATCAGTTTAATCAACATCCAACAGTAACCACCAGAAAGCCTCCCGCAACAAAGCAACAAACAATAGCATGAATAACCGCACTAAATACCAATAGGTATGCGCAATTCTCAAAACTAACCAAAGAAAAGATACAACCCCATTGGTGAATCACGAAAAAGCTACGTATCTATAGTAGTACGTTGTATACGAGCCTAAGGTTTAACGATCAAGGAAATTACATAACCTAAAAAAAACCATCATTGTCCCCAATATATCTCATGCAACTCCCGTAGAAAGATACGGCAGTAAAGAGGACGTATGGAAATCTTCAAAATCAAAGGATCGTGTATTAAAAAGAGAACTCGTATCGTCTACATAACTTAAAAGCAGAAGTCGATAGAATTCCGAGGAGAGAATAATCAGGGGAAGAGGCGACATCGCTAGTCGCTCCAGTGGAAGCGGATCGCACGATAATCGCGATTCGCTGAGCGGCGTGCGCGTAGATCGATCAGTGTCGTCGGTGTCTCTCGCGACGTTCCTTGTCGTGTTGCGTCTTGAGTTGCGCGTGGAAAAAAAAGAATTGAAACGCCAATTGAATTCTGAGGTCTCATTGTCGTCGAAGTAGAGGAGGACGGCGTTGGTGCGGATGCTAGGAAGTAGTGCAGGATACGCCAGGAGCAATATATGGATTGTGAGATAATACCTTGAGGTAGTGAGTGAGGCGTGAGTGGCAGAGAGTTGCGACAGTGGAGCCGGGAGGGAAACGTTACTCGGGTAGAAAATGCCGGTGGTCGATGTATCAGGAAGAAAGTGTTGATAGATGGGACATGTTTAACGGCTACAGGGTGAACATTGAGCACCGGTGCGATGTAGATTACGTCTGTGACGGTCCGGTTATTCCATGGTGAACGGATGAAGCAACGATTCGCACGGTCGCGTGGGCCTTGCTACGAGATGCCGCCAACGGGCTCGAGAGGAATGGCGCGCAAATGTTGCGTGCCAAATTGCCAGATCGACGTGCGAACTGTCCGCGGTAGGGGTATACCATTTCACAAGTTTCCGAAGGACACTATCCTTAGGAGCAAGTGGATTGCTTCTGGTGGTTTCGAACAAAACTTTAAACCCACGCCCGGACAATTTGTCTGCCATAGGCATTTCAAAAAGGCCGACTACGAGACCGCCAAAGGACAGAAGTTCGTATTGAGGAAAGGAGCGGTCCCGTCGGTTTTTGACGATTACGATAATCATCCAGGTAGTTTTAATAGTTCGCTTTGTGTAACCTTCAATTGAAGTTTGAGAGTGGATGGAGATATGTGCTATGGGACTTTTTGGGATTCTTGTAGTTTTGTTTTGTGTTGTTGTATTTGAGCTTTTTTTTTAGAGTGGGTGGATTATATTAGGGGGATTTTTGTTAATTGGGTCTTTTTTACGTTGCAGATCCTATGACAATGCCTGTAAAGTCTTCTTCTTATGCTCAGGAAGATTTGGATCTTATTAATTCTGAGATATCTAATTTGGATCATATTGACTCTACAACTTTGATGGATGCATATACACCCAAGTCTGATAGCTGCAGTGAGGCTTACAATTCCAGACCAGCTTCTGCGGCTGATACATTTAATCTGTTTGAATCATCGGAGGTGAATGATGGTGAACAAAAAGTAGAGAAGGCAGAGCTTCCTCTTAAGGACATTAAGGACAATGTTGTTGCAACTGAGAGTAAATTTAATCCTGCTACGAGGCAGCTGGGAGTCACTGAACTTGAAGATAAGGCAGAAAGTGCAGGGATCGATTTGAAAATCATCAAAGAAGAGCCAGAGCAAGTTGCTACAACTGAAGATAAAAAAAGTGTTGAGAATGGAGATTCTAAAGTGAAAGTGATGAGTCGTGGTGGCTTGAAATTTTTTCCTGGTGCTAAGTTAGAGGCTAAAGACTTCAATGAGAAATGGTAAATAGTTGGATTAATATCTGACAAATTTCGGAGCATGTGTCAATTTTGTTAAGTGACCATTTTCCTGTGTCTTCGCAGGTATTCTGCAAGAGTAGTGGAAACAGACTGGGTTGAGCGGGAAGTGTTGATACATTTCGACAAGTGGAGTTCTAGGTTTGATGAGTGGATACCTATGGACAGTTCCAGATTACGAGTACTTCAAATACAGCCAAGGTACTTAAAACAAAAGATTCTTTAACACCTTGTTAAGATAAAATAAAATCGATAAGAGTTAGGGCGATATTAATACAAATTGTATTGGGCCTCGTTTATTCATGCTGTTCATTTATTTTCTATTTATAAAGCGAGCCTACTTGGACGCTGCCATCTCCGTAAGTGGATATTACATTATTAGCAGGTAGAATAGTACTTTGTAGAGTTGCAGCTGGTTATTAATGCTCACTGTATTCAAAAAGGAGAATGCCTCTATAAACATCTTTTGATATATCTTATTTTTTGTACAACAATAGTCATATGGTATTTTGTTACTTTTACTTTCATCTATCGCACTAGTCTCACTCTTTGGTGTAGAGCAAAATTTCCTTTCGACGAGTAAGTTGCAAAGCATGATATTTCCTGTAGCATCCATATATACCCAGTAGATTCAGTTGCTACCGGATAGTTTCAGTCTCTCATTATTGATCAAATAAAGTAGTTGGTACAGCAACCAGATCCCATCCCCCAACAATTTTAAGTCATTGCCTAATTCTATCACTACCAGTACACAGTACTTCCAAGTAACAGTTGCTCCTAACAGTTAATAACTGTCAATCCATATCCTCCATCATTTCCAAACTTGTAGCTGATTCTCAAAAAGAAATCTAGCTGAATGAGTTCATCCCTGAATGTGCCCTCCATGTTAATACACCTAGAAAATCATCCCTTGGTCCTCAAGTTCCAAGTTGAAGTTCATCGTCCTGAAGTCAAATGTCTTACTTGGCTATGTCTAATGGTAATTAACGTCAACAATAAAATATCAGAGTGTCGTAAATCTCGTGGTGCCTTTTTTTTTTTAATTTTTGCTATAGTCTCAGTAGATATCAGATGAAAAATTAAAGCACAAATAGACAGTCGCCAGATACCAAGAGAAAGTTGCGGTAGTTCCTTGTGGAGTGAAGGAAAAATTGCTTGGAGCTCAGTTGCGACATACATTAGTGAAATAAATAGTGTTGGAATGGCGCGCGGTGTAACGAAGAACAATGTGTCTCGCAGGGAAACGAAGATGCGTGAATTTGTCGTCGGTGAGAAGATCCTGGCTACGTGGGCGGATGGCAGAAAGTATCCGGCCAGAGTGAACGCTGTGTTGGGGAACGGTGAGTTAGCTTAGCCTAGCCTTAACTGGGCTAAGGAACGCTCAAAGTGAGCACCTAGACTTTTGACGTTTTCTTTCTGAGGAATAACTAATCGTACAACCAGAGGTAATTTCAGATAGATACGACGTTCTGTTCGACGATGGATACACGAAGATCGTCAGGTCCTCGAAGATGACTAAAATCGCTACCACGTCCGAGAAGGTACGGATCAGTCGCGTTCATTCACCTGTAGAGGTTATGTTGTTACTTCTCTCTTGTATTAGCTTTGAGAATCGCTGCGTCGACAGCAGATACCTTGATTTCTGTCGTCGAGTACCTTATTAGAGATATTGTGATGATTTGTAGAATTTATATTGTTTTATTAAATTCATTTTCACTCTTTTGTTATTGTACTTTTTTGATACAAGATTTTTGTCATTCATGCTAACTGGGCAGGATGGAGAGAATATGGAGTTGCTTATGTGAAAGAGAAATTGTAATGAAATGCTGTTTGAGTTGTATATTATTCTGTTTTTTATTTATCAAATGTTTAGTATTTATGTAATGGATTAGAGAGTATTTCTTTTTTTAATGGTTCAGAAGTCGGTTGAGGGGGATTATATAGGGAGTAAGCAAGAGAGAAGAGACAAGAAGCGGAAGCATACTGTGATGGAGCTGTTTCATACGCATAGCAAGAAACGTCAGAAAGTTGAGGTAGAGCGTCCGATAAAGAAGGAAGAGAGTGTGCTCAGTGAGGACGATGGAAAGCTTGATCTGGGCGATTCGGTTCTTGGTACTTCGTATGACTCAGGATCAGAGGTTTTGCGTGGCTTTGAGAATACCAAACCTAAGATGAAGACGTTCACTAAGAAGAAGAGGAAGGAATTCATGAGGAACGAAACTGACAATGAAGAAGATGTTGGTCCTGAATGGATCGATGGTGAACCACAAGGCCTTGAGTCTTACATCGTAGATGGCAATGATGGTACGTAACACAATTTACTGCTCATAATTATTAAATCTTTAGCAAATCTGCATCCTCTTGCAAGATCTTTTTTTTCGAGCAGGTCCTCGTCGTTCCATCATCGTTCCCGATAAGAGGTTACCACCAGGATGGCAGAAGCATTTTACACAAAGGCGTACAGGCTCCTCAGCTGGCAAATGGGATGTTCTCTTCATACAGTGAGTATTCTAAAAGTACAATATCTATTTTTATATAAAGGAACACTGCATTAGGGTTTACTTGATTCCTCAGTAAAACAAGTGGCAAAAAGTTCCGGTCGCGAAACGATATCAGAGCCTTCATGGAGCAGCAAGGTCAGTTCGACTTTGACCCAGAGAAATTTGATTTTTGCATTCACCGTAAGAAAACCAGCAAGTTTAATGTGATGAGACTCAAGCCAGAGACACCTCCGGATGTTCCTAGGAAAATAAAAACTCTTCTGCCTAAAGCAAAGACTTCTACGCCAGAAAATACATCTTTTTTGTCATTGACCTCAGTGACCCTTCCGTCAGCTACACCATTGACCCCGGTCGACAGCGGCGGTAAGTTTTCATTTATATGTGATCTTCCTTTATATAGCATTACACTTTTTCCATTGTTATTTCAATGTTGCTCAGGAACAGTTTATTGTGAGTATCTTGACGACTCGCACTGTTAATAGAGTTTCTTAAGAATCGCTTGATAATCTGGATTCCTTTAACAGCCGTCTTCATAGGTGGGCTTCGCGTGGAAATGGAAGATAGCGCATACAAGTGTCCTAAGGAAGGATGCAACAAGAACTTCCGCAAAGAGAATCTCCTGCAGATGCACATAAAGCATTATCACCCAGAGTATTCCAAGTTCCTGGGCTCAACACCAAATGTCGCTGACCTGGCCTACGCCAGGACTATAGGAGAGTCCATCGAGGATATCATACCCAAGAAACCAAACAATTTCCTGGAGAAGATCAACAAATTCGAGAAGAAGAAGGCAGGCCATGAAAAACCTTTGACTCCGGTCGTAGAGTGTGAAACTCCTCGACCAGACAAGCCTACTACCGTTGTTAAGGAGGAGACGAAATTAGAAATCTCGTCGCCTACCTCCACCCAGAGTATCGACATGGATGAAGACAGCAAGAAACGTGAAAGTAATTGCGCCATGTCGCCAGGTACTCTCTTCGACATGAAAGTCAGGGAAGAGAAGGCTCAAGTGGGAATTAAAACTCTACTTCCTGTGAGGCCAGCATCCACTGCGGAACCTTTGAAACTTGACAGATCCAAATCTTTGGACGAGTCGACTCATTCTGACAAGGGGAAGGTACAAAAGAAACGACAGTTGTCCGAGTACAGTACTGAATTCCCTGGGAAATCTAAGAAGAAGCAAGGTAAATACCATCTTACTTTTATCATTTAATCTAGAGAGTGGTTTTATCTTTTACTTTCGTAATATCCTGTCGACGTAAAAGAGCTTTTACTCATGAGTGTCCCTTGTCATCCAAAGAAAAAGCTCCAATTTCAATTGGTTCTCCATAACTAACGTATCTTGTAAATATGTATATAGTTAGAAAAAGGCTCAGTGCCTAAAGTTTCATCATAAAAAATATCAAATACAATATATCTATAATCGCCTCCATTAGTTTCACGTTAAATTCAATAAATACATATTATACACTATCCCAGCACCCTCGGAGCATCCCCATACTGCATTTGAGATTATTTCTTAAGAGTAGTAGAAAGTGAGTTTTGTTTTGGCGGCAGACAAATTGCTTTTTGTTGCTATCAGGCATGCAGGAGCTTATGGATGATTATGGGGATTTAGATGACAGTGCTTTGGATGTTGAAGAACCTGCTACTCCAATGTACAGATTCAGTCGCAGAAAATCAGATCCAAAAAGCGACGAGAACAGCCAGAGCAGTAAGTCCCATATAGTTTAAATAGAATACACTACCCACTTTTTTTTGTTATCTTCTTCGTCTTGTCATTTAGTGAATGCCTATCGAATAAGTTGCAATAACTGGAAGTACATGTTAGGTTTTCTGTCTCTTAATTTCTCTTCGCAGTCTCCTCTCTCATCTGTTTAAGATTCCTCGACTTCAAGATTCCTCGTTCTTTATTACCGTCTATTTTATGTTATTATTTAGGTCAGCTAAACGATACTCGCCATGAGAAAGGCGATACCCCTAAGGGGGACGCTGCCAAAAGAGATAATATTAATGATGTCGAAGGTATATCTTTTATTTCCTTTTATTTCCATCCCTATTTATTTCACTAAAAATCATTATGCATATCAGATGTCACATTTTCCCTTAAACAGATCATCGTATCACATCAAGTCTCTAATGATCATATAACAGAATAAATACAATATCTTGGTTTTTTTTTGTTTGCTTTCGTTCAACCACGAATCCTTCTTCTGTTTCCTTCACTGTTATTTATTATTTTGTATTCATCTAATTCTCTGCACTGCTACGTGATTATAAAAAGGCATACAGTGCAAAGTCATTGCGTATTACCATTAGATTTGTCTTTCTCCATGCTTCATTAAAGTCATTACAAATAATTCTTGCAACGCAGTGGCACAGGAGCATACGCACCATCCCATTTGCAAGTTTGTGAATCTTTTTGTAATTTGGACCCTGTGTGCTCTTTCTGTTTTTGTAAATTAGAAGGCGAGGGTGTCATGATGATGATCAACGGGGAGATGGTGAAAGTTGAACAGCTACGTCGGGAGGAGATAATCAATTGCACCTGTGGATACATGGAGGAAGACGGTCTTATGATACAGTGCGATCTTTGTCTATGCTGGCAACACGGGCACTGCAACGGCATCGAGAGGGAAAAGGACGTGCCTGAGAAATACGTCTGTTACATATGCAGGCATCCTTACAGACAGCGGCCATCTTTAAAATATTTTCATGATCAGGATTGGATCAAGGAAGGAATACTACCAAGGTGATTGACGGCGAATGATCGTTCTTACAGAACCTCACGGAACGATCATCTCACGTTTACTTATATACTGTGTAACTCTTCCAGTTTACCGAATCGTTCGAAAAATCAAGCCGCCATTAACCAGAGGACCGCTATGTTGAAACGCTCGTACGATTTGGTAGGAGCTCTTTTGCAGATACAGCAAGTTCTCCACAGTCTGCGTGTCAAGATCAACGTGGCACAGTGAGTGTAACTTTAAACGGCAGATGTGACGTAACTTTATGAACAGATCTACAGGGTTTCATGTGCTGCGTTGCAGGAAAAAGGATCATCCAAAATTGTATCTGTGGGCTAAGAACTGGGAGAAGAGCGAGATACCAAAACCGGATACGGATCCGGTGCCTGTAATGGAGATCATAAAGACACCGTTGGATTCAATGGACACAGCTTCGGAAACGTCACACTCTCTGGAACCCAAGGTAGAGTTTAAGGAGACCGTCAAGGAGGATCCGGATAAGAAGTCTATTGCTTCGGATACGGAGCTCATGAAGATCCTTGAAGAAGACAGTACACACTCGGACGAGTCTAAGGTCATCAAGAAGGAAGATACTCAGACGGATGGACATATTCTATTGGATGCACTCACCAGGACAAGCAGTCCCGAGAAGAAGACGTCCGAGAATCTCACTGAAAATCCGGATACTCCAAGCGTGGATCTCCCGTCGACGTCTCAGAGTCCAATGGCAGTTTCCACGCCGGGAACTGAAAATCTTACACAGGAAACCAGTTCTCTCGCTCAACCTGAGACTGTTCCGCCTATGCAACCTTTTATTCCTGAACCGGAAGCTCCCATAGATCCAGCGGAATGTCGATTAAGATTATTGGAGCACATTGAACACTTTCAGAATCATATCGACTCTAGATTAACCACCATCGAGGCTCAAGTGTGCGGTGAGTAAAGATTAACAGGTGCAACTGCATAATATCGTGGCCTGCAGCCAGTTTTTAATCTACGTATATTCTTCTGCCTCATTGCAGCACTGGAAGCCATGGATCCGGATGATCCGACATCCAGTGTGGATGTTCTACCCAGGACCAAGCAAACTGTACAAATGTTACTCAGGGACTTGAATACTGTACGAAAATTAGCTGCACTCTGCTGAGGGCTTAGCTCGTTTCTAGTTAAAAAAAAATCTGTCTTATGTAAAATAATCCTTTGACATAGAGATTTATTATTTATTTATTACGCCACCTTACTAGTTCTCTCTGTTTTCACATGTAAATATGAACAGTACTGTGCTTTTGCTACCACAAGGAAGCCTTAACTTTACTCACTGGTTGAATTATGTATTCAGTATGCTGATTATATTCTTTTGAACATCCTAATGCTATTATATTACGACGCACTGTGTATTCAGTACTTGTTATTTGTTATAAAAAAAAAAACATTACAATCATATTGCGCATATGTAAAATATAATTAATTATAAACTATGTTAAGTAGTTACTCCTTTATTATATATTACATGCGTCATTAATATACCTTTGCTAAGTTCCCATTGAAGTTTAAACTTTGTCCTCGAAGAGGCAAAAAAATCACAGAAAACCATTCGATGGACCATCCAGAGAACATATTATCCATCAGTAATAAGACAAGTCAGTACTCACTCCTAAAAATTTTCAGCGATCCCACTTACAAGAAGCAATATTAACTGAAATGAAAATTTTGAAGAAAGAAAAAAGTAAAAATGTTCCCACTGCAGTGCATAAACGCAGCCCATCAGTATCCCATGCGGCCATATTGTACATTAATCTGGATTGACGTCACTGCAGACGCCTGCACAGGCAAACTAGAATAAACTAGGTATAAAGGAGAGAATAAAAAAAGATATTCAGACATTATTACTCGCAAGATGGGCCAATCGAGCAAGAACCAGTACGACATAGGAAGGTAACGTTGTGGTCATGTAGGTGGCTGTTGAAAAATAAATAAACGGGAAATATATAGCTGGCAGCAACGAAGTGGCAGTGCTACAGTCGGCTACGATGTATAGTCGTGTGTATTCGAGCCCGCAGTGAAAGGAAGGAGTAAAGTTAATCTGTAGTGGGAGAAAGAGTGAGAGAGAGAGAGACACGGAGAAATAGCGTGTGCACGAAAGAGAGAAGTAGAGACAGAAGAAGGAGACACAGAGCGCACTGGCATCGCTGCTGAGGTGTGGACTCGGTTCAGCATAGGTTCTGCTGTTAGCTGCATCCGTTATGACGGCACGACGATAGTTGACGAGATACGCGCGGCCAGTGTTTAGTGTTCGTTTGGTGCGCGTACATAATAGAAGATCTGGTTAGAGTCATCGTGAACCCTGGTCCAGTGTTCAGTTAGAAACCCTAGAAAAATTCGTCCGTGCGATGAAGCTTCCTCACGGTCCACGTTTTTGACTCGGAGGAGGTCGGTTCAGTCTGTTTTTTCCTTTTTTTATTTATCCATCCTCGGGCGCCGCATCATCGCCAAGCTTCCTCGTCTGGCAATAAGTCTCCGGTTGTCGGTTGTTCGTGGATTTTCGTGTGACGGTACCATGTGCGGTCGCGCGTGTTTCTCATCCACTGGAATAACCTGCGTTGTTAATTCCCGTTGAAGTTCCTTGGCTATCTCTAAGGCGGCTTCGTGCGACGACAGTCGGCACGGGATTCTCCCAGCAACGTCTTCTTCTCGAGGAGACACGAGATTATCGAAGAGGTTTTTTTTTTATCGGCAAGGGTGTTCCCGTGTTGTGTGTAATATATATATATATATATATTATAAAGCATTTTCTGTGGCTCTTTCGAAAGAGAGTGTGTAGTCTGAGAGAGAGAGAGTGCTAGTGGAGTATCAAGATGGCGCATAATTTGGCACCGAGCGTCAACTGTTCCCTCGACGACATCGACCTGAACGCCCTCAAGGTGAATATCAGTATTCTCATGGTATATTTAAATAGTGAATCAAAAACGCTATCCGTGATATTAATTTCACTTGGACTTGTAACTTCTTTTTCTTTACTACGAACTTTATCTCCGTTCTGCTTCCTAATTCCTTCGGGTTTAACCTTCGCGAGATCGTTGGACTCGCTTTACTCGTTAGGAGGGGGCCCACCCTGAGGGTTCCGATGCATTTCTTAACGCGTTAATACGATCTTAGATACTTGTATTATTGTCCTCGTGCCATGCCTAGAGGATGCTTCAGACATCCTCTTGGATGCAGCTCGTCGATGACACTCCTTACCTTCTTTATTTATTTTTACTGAGTGACAACGACGCACCCGGTGTATACAGTAGTGTTTACACTACACGGCTTCCTCTGTCTCTGGAGTAACAGCTGGTTTATTCCAAGGAACTCGAATTTGCTATTCATACACATCCTACTCTCGGCCTGAGGATAGATCTCTGACTTTTTTTTTTCGTACAATCGTATCCGCCGTTATTTACGTACTATGAATTATTGACTGTTTTTGAGGTTAACGATCTACATCTTTTTGTTTCCTATTTTCACAGGACCCAGCTGGAATATTCGAGCTGATCGAGGTCGTCGGAAATGGAACTTACGGTCAAGTCTACAAAGTGAGTAAAACTTAATTGATTCAATTAAAGCATGGTATCTCATATTTTTTATATGAGAATTTAGGTGCGACCTCAAGTCTCTTTCCCCGTTATGGACTTAGGACGCCCAATCGAATTCATGGGCAGGGTGTGACGTACACGTGTCCCTGTCGATAATCCATTCATCGAAGTGTCCTGGCAGAGCCAAAAATACATGGAACACAAAATGTCGTACAGACGCTTGAGAAAAACCTTGGCATGTGGCAGGACTCCCACACGAGGTCTGATATCTCACTCCGAAGTTCTTTATTCCTGAATACGTATCACATACATCTGCCGTTTACTTTCCCAGTGTGTTATTATCGCTTTGATACACCCAGAGTCTCAGTCAACGATTCTACCCGCACTCCGCTTCACGATCCTGACTGCCCGTTTCTTGCCTGGGAATTCATTCTCACTTATTCACATCGGACTTGATACTCGACCGTTGTGAAGTACCATGTGGGTTTCTCTCAAGCATTTTTCTCTTTATTCTATTTTCGTGCCGACCCCGTCTACGGCACCGCTCGTGAACTCGACATTTCAGCATCTCGTTCACCATTTTTATTAAGGTTCCTCTCTCGCCCTCTGGCAGTCCTACTGCATTCGTATTTACTAGCTGCGGACAGCCATTCCGGAGACTCTGTTTGGTTCATACCAGCCAAGGAGTATCTAAATCCTCCACCACGTTAGCGAGAGCACTCCTCCTCCTTCTCTCTATTCTCGTAAGTTTCAACGAAAAAAGATATATATAAAATTCTCACAACGTCGCGGTACATATAATTAAATTTTTTTTCTCAATCTTTCCTTTTTTTTTTATTTTTAAAACTATTCACCTATTTTTCTTTCTCGCTCACTTCCTGCAGCCTTCTTTCGACCGTTAACGAGACAACCTAACCTCCTTACGTCCTAACCAGGATTACACGTGACTCCCGTCGTACCTACTGTGAGAATACTAAGGTCAACGTAACGTCGATTCAAGGTCCTCCAGAGTCTATCTGTACCGTGAAGAAAAATTATATTCTTCATTAATGCACGTCGTTCACCGATTCTTTTTTTCTTACAGCCAATTCTTTCAAGAATTTCTTTCTTTTTTTTTCTTTCTCCTCTTTTGTACTCACGTTCAGGATTCTTCATAATTTAACCTCAGCTTATACACGGGCCTACCACAGGGACTCTCGCTACCTGGGTATATTATATGCAGCGAGATTGCTTCCATTCATGTCAGGTGCCAATGGCCACTGCTTGACATCCACTACCGTCTCACCAGTAAACTCACTGAACTCACGGCCGATCTACTGGGGCATATAAAATGGAAAAATCTACAGCGACTCGTGCAGTCGTTCTTTTTCGTACACGGTGCATCGCTGTGTAATGGCAGAATTGTCTACTTCTCTGTTGCATGCGTACTCCGTGGCTCTAGTGTGACTGAGAAAGAGATAGGAAAAAAAATAAATATACGTCGCTGGGACGGCTCTTCAGGAAAGTCTTGGAACCGTGAGACAGCGATCGGTGAGCCCAGGCCACTTATCTTTGCGTTAGTCATCCCCGGGTACCCGCTTCCACGTACTCCGGCAGCCTCCGCCGTCTCCTCTTCTACGTATTTGTAATACGTATACGCAATATACGCCAGGCACTCTCTACGCATAACTGCGTTAGGACTGTCGAAGGTGAAAGGTGCCCGATACTTCCATGCGGCAGACTGGAAAATTCATACCCGATGGAAAAAACTTCGGGACGCCAATATCGATCGACGTTTATGAATATTGAAACGGAAATATTTTACGTACACGTCGCTGGTACCGGAAGTGAATTTTAGACCGTCGATGGACAATCGACGAAAAATCTTATCGGTACTTCGTGCGATTTCTGGTATTTTTCGGAAATTATTTTAAAACCACGTGACGTCGTTTATAATGAATTTTTTTTTCTTCTTTCTTGACTCACCAGGTCTCGTGGAACCGGAGAAATGTGAAAGGAGTCCATCGGGACTCAGGAAGTCGTGTATATGTGTTCTTCGTGTTCCTGAATCAACCTTATATGTACATTCCTACGTGGGATTTACGTGTTGCTGAGGGAGAGGAGAATATCTCTCTCTGTTACCTGCTTCTCTATCTCTCTCTCTCTCTCTCTCTCGTTCTGCATTCTCTCCGTCCTTCCTCTAGAGAGGGTACCAAAAGACTCGGTGATTCACCTTGAAGATATTCTCTTATGGGTAACGTCCTTGACGAGAGGAGGCTCCCCGTGGAAGGCGCAGACGGTCGTTCGGCGGAGGTCGAGTCTATGCCATTCCTTTCTTATTCCTTGTACTGGTATCTGAGTCAATTCTAGTTTCTTTTTCTTTGTTTTGTTCTCTTCATAGTCACTGGTCACTAGGCTTTACCTACGTGGAATTCATACTCGGACAAAAACCAGGTTTCAATTACTTTGTTGTGGCTGGTGGGTAAAGTCTCGTGCCTTCTCTTGCACACTTGGCGAAGCTGAACTCGTATGGGAATTATACGTTATCATTAATTAGCTATATAATTCCGTGTCGCTGATTGGCCACCACGTCATTCATCCGTACACGTTGATTGTGCTCTGTGTATTGAGACCTGAGTTTTATTGAATGAAATTAGGTTTTTTCTTTCGCATCTCTTCTTCATCGGATTGACCGGCGAATATTTTCTATATGCTTCACGGACGAACATTTGAATTTCGTCAAGGCGCCGCTCATCCTCGACGCAGGCCTTCGCCTTGGCTACGGCGTTTGGCTCTTGGCGTTTTGCAAGCGGACATTGACGCCATCTTGCGACAGGTTCTGATCTGAACTTAATGGGCCGCTGCTTAATTAGGATGGTACTGCAACGGATTCGTTGACTGATGCTCATTGGGTTCTTGTCCAAGCTAAATGCGAATCTTGATAAATCTCATAGCTTCAATTTACACCGTATGCAATTCTTGCAGACAAACTAATGGCGCTGTCGCTAGTAAACGCTCCTGACGTAATTCACGTCGATGCGCACCTAGCACTCTTGATCCTTATAAGGGTATGCTATACGTATACACAATACATATACTGGTCTCTCGATATCAGAGCTTTCTATAAGGACACAGCAGGACACCGCACTCTATTTCCGGCAGGACTGTGACTCGTGCTCGCGGTCCCCACTGCCTTTCCGGATAGTTTTAAAACCATTTTTTTTAATTACTGAAAAAAAAAAGTAAAATGATTTCTTTAAAAAAGTCAGTGAAATGCAATGTTTTCTTTTTAACCATCGCTTTTGCATTTCTCCAGGTGTCAGGGAGTGATCCGAAATTTATACAAGGATGCCCCGGCTCTTTTCCGGTGGTCCATAAGAATTGATGGGACTCCGGTTAGAGTCGTCTATCCCCGAATAGATATTTTCCTCGAGGAGACGTCTCCCGGGCCTACCTCGTCACTCGACGCCCAGCGTCTGGAAAAGGGCCTCGTCCTCCAGCCTCCACGGATCTTCCTCTTCTCTATCGATCATCTCCGTCGTTAATAACCAAGTTGATCCTTCGTCGGACGAATTTTTTTTTTGAACGCCCTCTTCGACCGTCACCGCGCGATGGATACCTACCTAGCGAAGCATCGTCATTGTGCGCATTCAAATTTTATATCGATTGCTGACGAATCCCGAAGCCAACGTGGCAAACGTCCTACCATTACCGGAATTGAAACAAATTTAGAGCAATCAGCGAACACGGCCGGCTGGGAACCACTGTCCACTTCGTTGATCGTTTACGTCATTCAGTCATTGGCACGTCGCCTCTATTACGCGTACATTAGCTCGTTTCTCCCTCTTGTACTGTATTTACTGTAAAGAGAGAGAGAGAGAGAGAGAGAGAAAGAGTCATTCCAGAGAGAGTAACCTCTTGTACGCTGCATTACTCACTGTCCATATTCGAGTGACACTGGGCTCGCTCTCTTCGAGTTTCAAATTTTCCCGGGTCTTCCGCCCTACCGCATAACCCAAAACTCGGCTTCGCTGACTGCATAGTATATCGTGCACGTGAATGAATGTAAATATAAATATTACAACGTGCGCGGGACGACAACCCAGATCGATTTGTTTGCTCAGGTTTTTTTTCCTCACAATAACGGGGGAGCTCGGGCTTGAATCACCGATCGAATTAAATACAGCTGTTCACGCTCGTCTAGCTCCCCTCCCAGCGTATTATTTTCTACACGTACTGTACATTGTCAGCGTATTCCGTATTACATATATACAGTACGAGGAAAGCATTATCCATAGAAAGTGAATTGTTCCATGACTTTTCAACTGTTCGATTGAATTATTAACGTGGTATTGTCCGGTATGTACATGCGTATTGCACAGTAGGTACCTCGGTAAGGGTATATTGTTATTAAGGTTGGCACCCTTGTTCCTCGACGTCGACGGATCGATTCCGAGCGTCTATGAAAATTAAGTGCTCCTCCAGATGGCTGTTTCGTGGTACGTTCGGCTTAACTTCGTGACGGTTGGATGAGTCTGGGAATATTTTCCTTTTTTTTTCGTCGCTCCCCTCCATTTTTTCTCTCTCTCCGACACCACGGCCGAATAACGATCTTCGTTTACGTTACTCTTGGCTTGCATTGTATTGCCTTTTATTTGACTCCTCGTCGTCGCTCTATTAATTAAAAATATTTCCTCGGCTTCGATTGGCTCCTTCGGCGGGTTTCTCGCTCTCCTCCCCGTCCTTATCTCCGTCGCCCTGTCCCACGTTGTCAGGGAGAATGTCAAAGGCATTTACTGCTGGCGTCACGCAGCCTAGAGCCCGGGATGCGTATTTTTAACATCGGATCAAGTAACCCTCGATCAATTCCCACAGACCATCGAGCAGCATGTTCCATCTAGTGCGTAATTGCGTAATTTCATAAGTTTTCGTTCCTCGTGACTCGTCAAAGTTCCGGGCGACTCATCGTGAAATAATATCGCCGTCTCACTATGGTGCTTCAAGAATGGCTTCGGTTCGGC